GCTATTCACTCACTACAGAGGCTGGGACAAATTGGTCAGTCTCTCAAAGCCTGGGTTTTCTTATCTGTTAAATGGGAATAATAATACTACTTCAGAGTTTTGGTGTGAATATTAAATGAGTAGAAGGACATAACATATAAAGCTCCTGACACATGGTAGGAATTCAGTAAGTGTTCTCCCTTTTCAGAAAGGGAAAAAATAAATTTCTGTGTTGAAAATAAATTTCTCTTCTCAACTTGCTGCTTCTGGCAACTGTATTTGGGACTGAAATTCCATAGGTTTGAAATTGCAAATAAAATTTAAAATAAGGCCATTGAAAATTTTATGTAGACTACAATTAATTTAGTCATAATTTAACACTCTGAAGTAAGGCTTGAAATTTTGTCATTCATTCTATCCAAAAAAGTAGCTCCAGAAAGAAAATTTCAAATTTTGTCTTATTAAATTTTATCTTGAATAATATCAAATTTATAGAAAATTGCAGTGGTATACAGATCTTTATTTATATTTGCCAATATTTAACATTTTGCCATTTTTTGTTTTCATTCTCTCACTTTCTCTACCCATACCCTCACCCACACATGAACTTTTTTTCTTTACTATTTGAGACTAAGTTGCATATATTGTGCTCCTTCGTAAGTACCAGTGTATAATATGGATATTTTCATACATGACCATAATAGATGTGCCATTTCAGGAATTTTTTTTAATTAAAAATTTTTATACAATTTTAAACATTATTTTCTATTTACAGTTACTACCAAATATTGAATACATTCCCTGTGTTGTACAATACATCCTTGAGCCTATCCTATACCCAATGGTTTGTACTTCCTATTCTCCTATCCTTACATCACGCCTCCCTGCCCACACTGGTAACCATTAGTTTGTTCTCTGTGTTTGTGAGTCTGCTGCTTTTTTTTGTTATAATCAGTAGTTTGTTGTATTGTTCAGATTCTATTATATAAGTAATATCATGTGGTATTTGTCTTTGTCTGACTTGCTTCACTAGCATAATGCCCTCCAAGTCCATCCATGTTGCTGCAAATGGCAAATTTTTGTCCTTTTTTTTGTTGTTGTTCTTTGTCCTTTTTTATGGCTAAGTAGTATTCCATTGTGTATATATGTGTATGTATACCACATCTCCTTTAGCCATTCATCTGTTAGTGGAGACTTAGGTTTCTTCCTTGTCTTGGCTATGGTATATAATGCTGCTATGCTTTATTCCTGGGTGCATGTATCTTTTTGAATTAGCGTTTTTGTTTTTGTTTTCAGATATATACCCAGGAGTGGAATTGCTGGGTCATGTGGTGGTTTTATTTTTAGTTTTCTGAGAAACCTCCATACTCTTTTCGATAGTGACTGCACCAATTTACACTTCCACCAACAGTATAGGAGGGTTCCCTTTTTCCCACATCCCAACCCACGTCCACTGCATTGTCAGGCGGATTCTTCTCCCCTGTTTATTTATGTACATAAACAGGTGTTAATTTCTGTTCTTTTCAGTGATGGCCATTATGACAAGTGTGAGGTGATCCCTTGTTGTGGTTTTGATTTGTATTTCCCCTATCGTTAGAGATGTTGAGCATATTTTCCCATGGCTGTTGGCCATCTGCATTTCCTCTCTGGAAAAACGTCTATTCCGTTCTGCCCATTTTAAAATTGTGTTTTTTTTTAAAATTATTGAGTTGTAGGAGCTATTTATATGTGTTGGGTATTAATCCCTTTTGGTCATATCATTTGCAAATATTTTCCCCTTTCAAATATTGGCTTTTCATTTTGTCAGTGATTTCCTTTGCTGTGCAAAAGCTATTTGTCCTATTTGTTTATTTTTGCTTTTATTTACTTTAGGAACCAGATCCAAAAATATATTGCTGCACTTTGTATCAAAGAGTGTTCTGCCTGTTTTCCTCTAAGAGTTGAATAATATTTGATCTTACATTTAGATGTTTAATTAATTTTGAGTTATTTTTGCATAGAGTGTGAGAGAATGTTCAGATTCCATTCTTTTGCATGTAGCTGTCCATTTCAGGAAATTTTTAATTGGTTTAATCATGTAGCCAATCTACAGTCTATACTGTATTCCAGTTTCATCAGTTTGTCCTATTAATGTCCTTTGTAGCATTTTTTCCCTGAGATCAGGATTCAGTTCAGGATCACACATTGCCTTTACTTGTCATCTCTTCAGTTATCTTTAACTGGGGATTTGTCCTTAGGCTTCTTCTGTTTTTTATGACATAACATTTTGAAGGTTACAGATCCCTATGTCTGTGTAACGTTTCCTCAAGATTCATTTCAGATTATGTTTTTTGGACTGGAATACCACATAGGGATATTGTGCTGTTTCTAGACATGACATTTGGAAGCACATGATGTCTGTTTCCTTAACTGGTAGTGTTAATTTTTGAATAGTAGGTTTTGGTGTTACCCATTTCTCCACTTTAGAGTCACTTTTTCATTTTTGGAATAAGTAATGTAACTAGTTTTAAACTATGCAGATATCCTGATCACCATCAAAACCCTATCACTAACACTGGAATCATCCATTGATGGCTTGTGCCTGAACTAAATTTTATTTTGATGGCTGCAAAATACTGATTTTTTTCCTAATTCTGTTATTTCTTATATATGTGTGTGTGTGTATATATATATATATATTTATAATTTTATTTATTTGTTAATAGCTGTGCTGGGTCTTCATTACCTTGTGAAGGCTTTCTCTAGTTGGGTTGAGCAGGCGCTGTTCTTTGTTGGGGTGTGCAGGCATCTCATTGTGATGGCTTCTCTTGGGGAGCTTAGGCTTCAGTAGTTGCAGCACTCAGGGTTGATAGTTGTGGCTAGCTGGCTCTGGAGCACAACCTCAGTAGTTGTGGTACACAGGCTTAGTTGCTTGGCATGTGGGATCTTCCCAGACCAAGGATTGAACCCACGTCCCCTGCATTGTCAGGCGGATTCTTCTCCCCTGTTTATTTATGTACATATATATTATTGATGAGAGTTCATGGATTCTTATTTTAGTCAACAGATTAAAATTCATTGCTGTGCAATTAAAATTCATTGCTGTGCTTATTTATTTTGATACTCGAATTGTATAAATTTGGCCAGTGGGAGCCCCTTCAGTTTGGTTCCATGCCCTTTCAACACAGTCCAATCATTTTCTTCAGCATGTCCTTATTTTCTGCCATGTTTCAGACTCATCTACCTTTCTCTTGCCTTGGAAAGAGCCATTTCTCCAGAGAACTCTGGTTCCTTTTACTGGAGAATGGGTTTTAGAAACCAGAATCTGAGTTAACACTTTTTAAACATTGGAATTCCTAAATTCTTAGTGAAGGGGCAGTGGGGAAGAGTTTTGGAGACTAAAATCTGCTGTGAAAGCTTAGTTTTCCATAAGTTTAATAGTTTGACCACTTGTGTTTTCATTTCTTGCTGCTGCTAAGTCGCTTCAGTCGTGTCTGACTCTGTGAGACCCCATAGATGGCAGCCCACCAGGCTCCGCTGTCCCTGGGATTCTCTAGGCTAGAACACTGGAATGGGTTGCCATTTTCTCTAATGCATGAAAGTGAAAAGTGAAAGGGAGGTCACTCAGTCGTCTGACTCTTAGTGATCCCATGGACTGCAGCCCACCAGTCTTCTCCATCCATGGGATTTTCCAGGCAAGAGTACTGGAGCGGGGTGCCATTGCCTTCTCCATTTCACTTCTTAGATCTGGGTAAAAATATTCTTGTAATCCTACTCAGACTTGCTAGTATGTTTACTTACCAAAGTTGTCATTTTTTAAAGTGGATCTTAAGGAATTTGAAATAAACAGCAGAGATTGCTTCACTCTTGAAATTTTCTTTGTTGTTTATTTTAACATTTAACATTTAAAATAAATGCCATCTCATTTTATGTATAAGATAGTAGATCTCTCATCATATATGTCTAAGTAACAGGTATTTGTAAAAGCTAGTGACAAAATGCATTTGTTTTCAGTTTTAGATCATGTATTGTGGCTGCAGAGGTTTTTTTTTTTAATTGAAAATACTGTTAAAGAACTTCATATTTATAGTACATTTGTATCTTCCAGGATATTTGAAGTAACAGAACTTGCTTGTGAGTCTTCATTATTGTTTTGACAGGGAGAAAGAAAGTGAAAGTCGTTCAGTCGTGTCTGACTCTTTGTGATGCCATGGACTATGCAGTCCATGGAATTCTCCAGGCCAGAATACTAGAGTGGGTAGCCTGTCCCTTCTCCAGGGGATCTTCCAACCCAGGGATCGAAACCAGGTCTCCCACATTGCAGGCGGATTCTTTACCAGCTGAGCCACAAGAGAAGCCCAAGAATACTGGAGTAGGTAGCCTATCCCTCCTCCAGAGGATCTTCCCGACCCAGGAATCGAACTGGGGTCTCCTGCACTGCAGGTGGATTCTTTACCAACTGAGCTATCAGGGAAGCCCAAACAATTCTTAAATATTTTATTATATACTAATGTTAATCTGCCATCACAGTAATTGGATTAAGGTAGGCCATACAGTCACCCAGATCTCAGACAATTCCTACCTAGTTCTTGTCTTTCCTTTAGCTGGCATTGTTATGTTTCCATAATATTCTTTTTAACATGTGCTATATCAGTGTTTATAACTTCCAGCTTGGTATCTCTGCTGCTAAGTTCCTGAAACAGGTTTTATACCTAACTAAGTGAAAGCAGTTCTTTATAAGAACACCTCCTTCTTCAGCCTCTTTTGCAAGGTTGCTGTGGCCACTGGTTTGTCCTCATAAAATGAGCCAGCTGCTTGTTTTTAGGACAGATTCTAGAAATGGTATCTCACAGATGGGAGAAGTTCTGTCTGCAAGCTTGCTCAGCTCTTCATCTTTGTGATTAGAATGGACTTGGGGATCAGATTTCCTGATGGTCAACAATCATGAGACCTTCGGTTCTCAAAGAATGTCCTCTTTTCAACTCAAACTGTTGCAGAGGCCTGCTTTCATAGCTGTTGACCCGATCTCTTTTTCCTTCCAGAAATGACGCTTCTCTCCTCCCAGTCTTCATCACTGATGGCCCCTTCTGGTTCTGTGTCCACTGAAAACCCAGAGCAAAGGATGCTAGAGAAGAGAGCCAAGGTGATAGAGGAACTTCTTCAGACGGAAAGAGACTACATCCGGGATCTGGAGATGTGTATTGAGCGGATCATGGTACCCCTGCAACAGGCACAGGTGGGAACTATGGGAGAAAGTGAGCTTTGCCATGAACATGGTTCTCCAGGCCTAAGGCTTAGGGTACGGGAGCACCATCCTGTCACTTATCAAGTCCACTATTAACTTACTAACTTAAGTTACTGCAATGACTCCTAGGACATTTCCTGTTTCTGTGGCTCCCTGAAAACAGTTCTAGTGAGTCTAGAATTAGCACTTTACGCTTCACTGGGAAGCTGTGCAGTAATATTAATATAATGAAGTCTGGTGATGGTTTTCCTGGCTATAGCATCTGATTTACAGGTTTATTCTAGAAACTCTTACTAATGTGTGTATGCTAGACACTCTCTTAAATGCTGGAGATGAGGCAGGGGGAAGGTTAACAGTATCCTAGGGATTTACAGTCAGTCCTGTTGCTTGTTACTTGACCATCTGGGCTCAGCTTGGATGTGGACTCCTGGAGCAATCACTCACAAGAACTCTAGGAAGTCGATGGTGCCATCAGATTTGGAGTCCTGGGTGGAGTTTGTGTCTCAGTATAATAATTGTACAATTATTATGCAGTTACAGAAATTGGTTCTACAGTCATTTCACTATGGTAATGGGGGTGGGGGAGCAGAAAGTAGTTGGATCAAGGACAAAAGGTGACACTGAAGGTGATGTTAGATATTCCCATTCTGGAAACCTCATGAGAGTGGTGAAGATAACCTTGAGCAATTTTTGTATCATCCTTGAAGAGATGTTCCTAATGTGAATGATATGCTATTAATTTTATTTCCATGCATCTTTGTTTTGTTTTCCTTTCTCAGATACCAAACATTGATTTTGAGGGGCTTTTTGGAAATATGAAGATGGTGATTAAGGTCTCAAGACATTTACTGACTGATCTGGAAATCAGCGATACCATAGGTATGAGAGCCCCTGCTGTTATTTCAGAAACAGGTTTGGTTTTTTTTTCTTTTTCTTTTGTAGGAGACAGAGGAGAAGAGCACTGGTATTTAATAGTTTTACTAGGAAAATGAAATTTTAGTCACTTAGTTCCAAGGTTATTTGGTCTACTTTGTGGTGATACCGGATGCTTGCAATAGAAGAAATTTTTGTTGTTACATGGTGTGATATTTTTCAGATTGACAGTTGCAGTCTGTTAGTGGGTCATGAGATCATTTTAGGACCCAGTAACTCAGTGGGTTTATCTTACAGCTAAGGAACCAATCACATTAGATAAACCCCAGTATTATAGTAGTCTACTGGCAGATTTGTCCAACTTTGTGCAGGAAGAAGACATTGTCTTTGTTATTCTGGTCAGGAACAAAGCTGCCATCTGTCCAGGAAGGGGAATCTGTCTCTATCTTCCAGGCTTTCTGCTATACAAACATCCTTGGAAATCTAATCTGGAATAAGAGCTGTCCCAAATCATGTAGAAGTGCCATGGAGAATTGGTCTTCAAAAGCTTGCCTTTCTTTATCTTTACTCTTATTAATAAAGAAATCTGCTGAGTGATTTCTTTAAAAAAATTAACACCCAGTATATATATAGTTCCAATAAAATAGAAAATATCAGAATGCACTGTAAATAATAACTATAGTTTTTGAAATTTTTATTTCAGTTCTACATATATGTCCACTGAGTCATGATTTAAAATGTGTTTATTCACGTGGGTCATTGTCAAAAACATTTGGAAAACAATTATCTATTTCTTATAACAAGGGTATTGTGTTAGTTATCTATTGCTGTGAAACAAATTGTACTAAAATTTAGTGCCTTAAAACAGAAACAGGTCACATTTCCTTTGGTTCAGGAATCTGGGAGTGGCTTAGCTAGGTGATTCTGGCTCTGGGTCTCTCATGAGGTTGGAGTCGAGCTGTTATCTGGGCTGCCATCATCTGGGGCTCAATCAAGGATCTGGTCTCAAAAGTTCACTCAGATCATCAGGCATCAGTTCCCTGCCATGTAGGCCTCTTCACCTTCATGACGGTGGCAGCTAGCTTTCCCCAAACTGTGTGATCCAAGAGAGAGAGGCGGCTTGAGATGGGAGCCAGTGTCTTCTATAACCTGATCTCAGATGTGACATGCCATTGCTTCTGCCATATTTTACTGGTCATACAGACCAGCTCTGGTACCATGTGGGAGGGGACTTCCTATCACTTTGGTATTTTATTAGAATCAAAGTAACAAGATGCTATCACAGTTCTAGTCATCCCACTACACATATCACAACATCCAACAGAAGGAAAAAGTGACCCTGTGTCATTTAGGAATAAGCGGACCTTTCCAGAGCCCCCTCACTGGAATTCTCTATTCTTCATTGGCCAGAACTGGTCACATGCATATGCCTACATAGATCACAAGAGAGGGGAATGGGCTCATGATGTTGACTTAAGCTAGGTGGTGTTGACCTGACTCACCAGGGAGAGAAGCGGATATAAGAATAGTCAGACCTCTGCCCTCCTTTAGAAAGGGGTGGTGGCTGTGGGATGGTAGGTAATAGTGCAGCTTTGTTAATGTTTCTCCAGGGTTTAATTCCACACTCCCTTTCAGGATATGCCAAGCTTGACTGCACTTGTTCCCTACAACAGCCCTATGAGGTTAACCTGCTATTAATCTTAGTTTACAGATGAGGAAACTGAGACTTTTGCAGGGGAGTAATTTGCCCAGGGTCACATGGCTAGTACTCTGTTGGATTGACATTCAAACTCAGGTCTTTCCTGTTGTCTCTGCATATGCTGTTAGCCTCTGTACAGAACAGCTGCTTATGTATTAATAATACTTTATGGAATAGCAAGAGAAACTGAAGCCTGGGGCCCTGCTCTCAGTCTCTCTGGAGAGGCCAGAGGTCAGGGAAGTTGAGGAAGGAGACGCACACATTGACCGGAGGAAGCCACGGTGACCCCATTTTTGTAGAATGATATTATTACCTGTATATTATGACAATAAAAGAAGAAATGAAAACAGAATATCCATAATCTCACCCCATACAATTTCAGCCATTTTGTTTCTCCCCTTCCCCTCTTGCCCCAAGACACCAAGAATTTAGGTAGCAGACTGAGATGAGCTGAAGGCACGCAGAGGATGGGGGAGGAGAGGGCCTGGGAACCAAAGGGCTTAGGGCCTCAGAGGAGGGTTAGCTTTACAAGGAGGGACAGTGCACCGTGACCATGATATACAGTAGGCAAAACTGAGGCTGAATGAGCGCTCCAGGCTGGGAGCTTCAGTCTTGGTCCACAGGAGGCCAGGCAGTGCACTCGGGGAATTAATAAAGGACAAGGTTTTGCATATCTGATAAGGGAAGGTTCTGGAAAGTCAGGGAAGGCAAATTAAAACATTGTTCAGCCACTTGCAAAGGGCAGATTGACTTAAATTGCATAAACAGTGTTTTATTTTTCTTAAGTTTATTTTTATATGTAATATATATTTTGATATATAAATATATATTTTAAGTGTAACTTGCTTTTAATATATTCACATGGCTTAAAATTTGAAAGGTACAAAGAACTGCTTAATGAAAACTCTATCTGCCCCTGCCACTTAGCTTTTCTCAACCAAAAACAACTAATGTTATTAGTTTTCTTATATCTCCTTTTGGAGATTCATAACAGAAATGACATATGTATTTTCTCTGCCCTGGTCCCCCATCTCCATTTTAAAAAAAAATTAGATAAACAGCATACTATTCAAACTGCTCTGCAGTACACTTAACTCCCCTTTTAAAAGTATGCCTCCCAAACAGTTCTTAATCACCCAGGAATAGAAATGAAAAAAGTATACAGTGGATAATGTGGTAAAATTCCAAGGTAATCCAGGATGCTGGAGAAAGTGTCTTTGAATTAACTTATAAGCCTGATTGGAGAAGAATTCAAAGTGCAGGCAGGCCAAGGGTCCACAGGGAAGGAGAGAATAGTCGGTGTTCTGGGGCTTGGATGAATTAGAACATGAGGAGGTTGAGATGAGGAAGAAGTACCAGAGGACTCTGAATATGTGGTAATAAGTAAGGAACTGGCTTTTAATTATTTTAAACATGTCCCACAGAAAGAAAGATATTTTACATCACGGCCAGGATACATGTCTGTGTGTGTGTCTGTGTGTGCTTTCACTGTGGCCAGTGTTTTCTGTTCTGTTCTTTTCTGTTCCATTCTGTTTCCTCAGATATGTGCTGATCGTACCCATAAAGTAGATTCCATGACCTATTCATGGGTTGTGACCTAACTTTGAAAAGACACTGTAAATTAAGGCATAGCTTTGCTAGGTTGTAGTTGATGTAGAAGAGCCACAAATGGGGGGGTTGGAAACCCTTGAATGGAGGTGTGTGCAGAGTCATGGGTGTCAGCCTGAAGGTTCTAGGAGTGCTTGGTTGGGGGGGCAGGGAGGGTGGAGGATATGAAGGGAAGAAGCCAGGCAAATATCAGTTGGTGAAAGTGGGTGGAGACACTGGTGGCTCAGGGTCTCCACGGTGGCCCTGAAGGTCAAGAGGAAGCAGCCCCACTCTTAAACTCCTGGGTCTGTTGAGCTGCAGGGTTAGACAAAGTAAGGCTGCCAGGGACAGCAGCACAAGTGTGATGTGTATGGACATAGTCAAGGCTCTTGGAGGAAGGAGCTATAATTAAGGAAACACATTTCATTTAAATGAAAAGTGCTCTGCACGAAAATAGGGAGTTCCCTGGGGCATAACATGGAGGAAACAGGTGACCTTGTAGAGAGAGATGGGGCTCCCTGAGGGAGTGGTTCATGCCCAGAGCAGCTGGGAGAGAGAGGTGCTTGTAGGGAAGCAGTAAGTAGGGCCATATGTTGAGGAAGAAGCTCAGGAATGAGAGGATGCTGTCTTTTGGGGAGCAGTGCAAGCTGAAGAAGGAAGGAGCAGGCTCACTGAGAGAGGGAAGAGAGGCAAGAGCAAGAGTTTTAACAAATCAGGGACGTCTGCATGCTCAGGCAGCTGCTCTAAGTGCGTCGGCTCTGTGGAAGTGTGTTTACGAACTGTTCCTTTGCCTGACTGGTGTAGACTGCGGGGGAGGGGTGTCTGGGTAGATTTCAAGGAGTCCACCAACTTGGATAGAAGTTTATAACAAAAATGTAGTGCTGATTTAAGATATGATTGTAGAGAACAATGATCTTACCAACTAAAGTCACATGCTCGTATCACATTAAGTTGTTGCAGGTATCTCGAGATCCCAGAAACAACCCATGTTACCAGTTTCTTATGTCACTCATCATACTTGAACTTATGGTGTATTCGATTCATTGCCGTGTTTTGCTATTCAGTGTTTTATAAAGAAGTACATATATTACTATATCATAGATTCAGGGAGTTTTATATTACATTTTATATATTATATTTTAATATAATAAACTTCATTTATAGTCCTTGTATTTAATTTATGCACAAAGAAAAGATTAGAAGCTGCTGCCATAGAAGGATCTCTTTATCTCTGTGGAGATTTGGGGCTTTGGGAGCTAAGGGGTCTCTATAGGTTCTGATCACATAACGATGTAGAGAGTACTTGATTGCCTGACTGAAAAGGGACTGGAGGCTGTTTCAGGGACTGGGTATGTTGCGGGGCGGGGGGTGTGTGTGGTGTGTGCATGTGTATAGGTTCTGAAAAATAAATACATGGATGAGAGTTCTCTTAATTTTGTGTTAAATAAGTAGAATTTCAAGCTATTACAGGGAAACAGCTTCTTGTTTAAGGGATAGGATTATCTGGTATTAAAGTTTGGTTATATACCTTCCATTTAGGATGCTGAGAAGAAAGTTACTAAAAACACTTTGTGTTTGTATATCCTCCACAGGACCTGTGTTTCTTGATCACCGAGATGAGCTTGAAGGAACATACAAGGTTTACTGCCAGAATCATGATGAGGCCATCTCATTGCTGGAAATCTATGAGAAGGATGAGAAGATCCAGAAGCATCTTCAGGACTCCTTGGCAGATCTTAAGTAGGAGTTTTGAGCACTTCATTCCATCATAGCTCTTTAGTTCTGCCTGTTGGAAGTCACTCCCATGTCTCTCTAGACTTCTTATGACATCTGTAAATCTATCGTATTTTAAAATATAAGTGATAAATCATTGGAGTTCCTTCTGTGTAACTTGCCCTTTTCCCGTTCTGTATCATGGAAATCTTAAGTAGCTTCCTGCTTGTAGTTTTATCCATTAAAATCAGTTTTATTTATACATATAAGGTTATCATTTTCAGGTAAGAAGCTGCCAGGAAGATAGTTTGGTCTTGACCGTCATGAGATTCTCATGTCTTAGGGAGACAAGTTGTGAGGAGGTAATATGTGTCTGAATAGGTCAGAGTGAAGTTAGGGGCTTACTGACTTTTTTAATAGACTAGAAATGCCACCATAAACATTCACAATTCCCCTTTTATCTCGTGTGTTTTTTGTCTGCCCAGCTAATAGGCATTAGTTGGACTAATATGTTCTGAGAGGAATGTGAAAATCAGCATCAGTATTTTCTCTAATCAGCTGTTTCTTCTTTTCACGCTCACTGCCTTATAGGAGCCTGTACAATGAATGGTGAGTTATTGCTGCTTTTTTTTTTCTTCTTTCATAGACAGAAGCTAGAGGTCACAGCAGGTCCCCTGCCTTGCTGTATTTTCCTCCATAGCACTTACAACCAAATGACACTTTGTATGATGTTGGTTTGATTTTTGTCTGTAAAAAAGTCACCAGGCAGGGACTTTTTTAGTTCACTGCTAAATCCACACTAGAACATTGCCTGATATTTGTTAGGTGCCTGGTAAATGTGAATGAATGAAGTTGGGAATTAGGGTAAGAGAACAGAGCTGTATTAGGAGTAACAAATACTGGCTATAGACCCGGTGTTACTGACAGTTGACCAGAGTCTCTGTTTTCCCTTCTCTTATAGGGGATGCACAAATTATATTAACCTGGGCTCCTTCCTCATCAAACCAGTGCAGAGAGTAATGCGTTACCCATTGCTGCTGATGGAGTTATTGAATTCCACCCCTGAATCCCACCCAGATAAAGTGCCTTTAACCAATGCAGTCCTTGCAGTCAAGGAAATCAACGTTAACATTAATGAGTATAAACGTCGAAAGGACCTGGGTAAGAAAAGCGTACTTGCTGAAAAGGAGGCACACCCTTGAGAATGTTCTCCTCAAAAGAATTAATTACTAAACCAGAGGTGGACAGGCAGATGGTAGGTAATAGGGCTGTGATGAAGAAATGGTAATAGGATTTGGGGAAAATGAGATAATGAAAGAAAGAAAGCAATGATGATAATAAAAGCACAGTCATGCGTGTTGGAAATAAGGCATCTGTGACAAAGCTTATAGCAATGAGTCTTTCCCAGGAGATATGAAGACCAGTTAGAAAATGGCTGTTGATCAGGACAGTTCCTTCAAGTTGAGTGACTGCCTTCTCATTGAAGGGAGTCCCTTTTGGTCCATTCTTGCATCTCTTTGCCCTGCATGTTTGCTTCCACTTAAGCTAGAAGTTTCTTGTCTTCTTTCAGAAAACCCCAGTGTGCCTACCTCTCTGGCCCTATCAGTCCTGCCTCTGGTCTGAGCCCCTCCCCTTACCGCCAAAACTGTGCAGTCAGTTGACAGACCACCCACTCTTTTTTTTTTTTTTTCACTCTTTCTTTATGATAGAGGACAAACTGAACCATGTCTTCTGTCTCATGAAATCTCTTGTCAAAACTTTGATTTTGAATACTCAATGAGTATAGCATGGTGACCATGCTATAATAAACTGATTTATCACTCATATCCTCAAAGAATCTATAATGTAGCCTCTCTGCCTGTCTCTCCACTATTCTGCATATTTATCTAAAACCATTTTCCCCTCCTGCTTCAGCCATGTCACCCATGTTTATGTGTAGTGTTGGCTGTGGCTGTTAAAGCCCTCTGGCCATCGAGCCCATTGCCTTAGTTCATATCTCTTCATATAATGTCATCTTCATCTCCTACAAACAGTGAAGTGTGCCTTTCTCTGCCACCCAGACTTCCCTTGCTATCCTTCTACTATTATTTCTGAGGTTTTCTGCAGACTGACTGATGTATGACACACAGTCAGACAATTCCTGCATAGCATTTCACTGTGTGAGATGACTGGATATAAATACCTCATTTGTGGATGAGACCATCTAAAGTGGGCAGGTACTGTTACTGTTTTCATTTTATTGGAAAGGAAAATGTGGTTCAGAGAGATTAAGTGAATTATTTAAGGCCACACTTTTTTTTTTTGGCCATGCCTCACAGCTTGCAGGACCTTAGTTCCCTGACTAGGGATTGAACCTGGGCCCTGGAAGTGAAAGTGCATAGTCCTAACCACTGGACCATCAAGGAGTTCCCTAAGGCCACACCTTGATGAAATGACAGACCCAGGCATTGAACTCAGAGGTTGCCTTGACTTCAGATCTTAGGCTTTTTTCCTTGTACCTCCATGACCTTCCTTCCTTGTCTCTAATCTTTTCCAGTTTCTGCTATTCTCTGGGTATCCGATCTGTCCATAAATGGTGATTTGGATTAACATTTTGTGTACTCAGTCATAAGCTCTTTGAAAATAAGCACTAGCTCTAGTTTGGATTGTTAGTCTCGTTTGTAGTCTCTCCATGCTTGGAAGAGGGCTTTCTCTACTCACCAGTTTGACTTACTCCCCAGTTCTCAAGTACCGAAAAGGTGATGAAGATAGCCTCATGGAGAAAATTTCCAAATTGAACATCCACTCCATCATCAAGAAATCCAACCGGGTTAGCAGTCACCTGAAGCATCTCACTGGCTTTGCTCCACAGGTGAGGTTCCTGCCCTTGAAGGTTCAGCATGTCTTTGGCTGCTTTTCAGGGCTCCACAGGGCAGCCTACATGGTGTGAATTGGTAAGATTCCCCTCTTAGTACCCTCTTGGTGTTTGCTAGCTGGTAGATAAAACACCCTACAGCTACTCTTTGTTTATTTGGCTGCCCTGGATCCTAGCTGTGGCATGTGGGATCTAGTTTCCTGGCTAGGGGTTGAACCCAGGCCTCCCACATTGGGAGCATGGAGTCTTAGCCACTGGACCATCAGGGAAGTTCCTCTGCTGTGTTATATTTAAATCTACTGCCCCCCACAACCCTCCATCTGAGTCTTAAGCTGCTTACAACGTGTACAAAGACAAATCAGGAAACCAAATCTGTCACCATGTAAGAGTTATCATGGTTTTAGACACCCATAAGGAGTTTATCATCTGTTTGGGGAGACAAAATTGTGGACATGTGAGGGTAGAAGGGATTTAGGAGATCACCTAGTTCAACACCATAAGTCACATGTAAGGAAATGTAAAGTCTAAAATCTGAGTGACTTGTAAAACAGCCACAGAGAAGATCCAGAGTCTTCCAGACTTCATGTGCTGAACCATGTGAATGTGATACAGTCAGTGGAAAATACCAACTAAAGAATCAGTTGCTAAGCTTGGCAGTTTGCTCTACACAGTGTGGTACTTAAGTAAACGGGAGCTCCGTGAGAGTGAGCTTCATGTTGGCGAGATGTAATCTGAGCTTTAAAGGAGATGGGCAGGTTTGGCGCAGGGAGAGGGAGGGCACACCTGGCCAGGCGGCAGCACTGGTGACGCCAGCAGCCTGGCCAGCCAGGGCTTTTGTCAGGAGCAGAGGGGGCCGGGTGGAGACAGGCGTGCCTGTGTGTACTCGGGAGGCTGTCAAAGCCTGGAGAAGTGCTTAAGTCCAATTCCACATGATTCAGAGAAACATCAAAGGCTTATAATTTAAACAAAAGATGTGCTTAAGAAAGATGCATTTCTAGTAAGATCAACTGAGAGAGAGTGCACATTTGCTAACAGCACTTACTCATTTTGAACAGATTAAAGATGAAGTATTTGAAGAAACAGAGAAAAACTTCCGAATGCAAGAAAGATTGATCAAGTCTTTTATCCGAGACCTGTCTCTCTACCTCCAGCACATCCGGGTGAGTAAAGACCTTATTCTTGTTAGAATTGCTGACAGTGTTAATTCCAGCCGTTCTCCTGTTCATCCAGCATATTGCTTAACAAATGTGGAATAACCTGGACTCAAATGACCATTATACCATGACAAGCTTTTTACTGGGATTCTTGCAGATTATTTAAAAGTTAAACATCAGAAGATCAGCACTGTTGTATTCATAGTAAGGGAACCTAGCTCTTTCCTTCATCTCTTTCAGTCTTCACCCTTTTTGCCCTGTTTCCTATATCCAGTTATATAAGAAGCACTCATCACAGTTCATTTTGTCAGAATCACTTTGAAGATCAAATAGTAAGAGAATGGTTCCTATTGGGGGGGTGGGCAATGCTTCCTAATAATCATATTCATCTACAACTGTCCGTGGGCCTCTAAGGCTGTTAGAGCCACAAATACGTCTAGAGAGTTGGAAGAACTTAGGAGATCATGGAGGCCCCGGTCTTCCTTGCCTAAGGCAGGGCTTCCTTCATGAAGTCAGATCCAGGACTAGAACCCTTTCTCTTAATATCTGTAATTTCTCTGCTGATTTAATAGAAATTAAGGCTTCCCTGGGAGCTCAGCTGGTAAGAATCCGCCTGCAATGCAGGAGACCCTGGTTTGATTCTGGGATCAAGAAGATCTGCTGGAGATTTAATAGAATAGTGTTTGTATAAATATACCATATACCCCTGTCCCTCACACAGGAAAATCTCATCCTGTGAAATAATTTCCTTTAAAAGTGATCCTTTGCTTTTTAAAAAAATTATTTTTTCTTATTATTTTCATCATTTTTTAACTAAGTAAAATGGTGCAGAATTCAAAAACTGCCAAAGGAATGTTGTTGTTGTTCAGGTTCTAAGTCATGCCCAACTCTTTGTGACCCCATAGACTGAAGCAGGCCAGGCTTTCCTGTCTATCACTATCTCAGAGTTGTTCAAATTCATGTCCATTGAGTTGGTGAGGCTATCCAACCATCTCATCCTCTGCTGCTCTCTTTTCCCTTTTTCTTTCTTTTCTCTTTCTTTCTTTCTTTCTTTACTCTTTCTCTTTTTCTGCCAACATCAGGGTCTTTCCCAGTGAGTCGGCGCTTCACATCAGGTGGCCTTCAGCTTCAGCATAAGTCCTTCCAGTGAATATTCAGGATTTATTTCCTTTAGGATTGATTGGTTTGATCTCTTTGCTGTCCAAAGAACTCTGAAGAGTCTTATCCATCACTAAGTTCGAAAGCACCAATTATTTGGTACTCAGCCTTCTTATGGTCCAACTCTCACATCTGTACATGACTACTGGAAAAGCCATTGCTTTGACTGTGGACCTTTGTTGGCAAAGTGATATCAGTGCTTTTTAATACACTGTCTAGGTTTGTCATAGCTATTCTTTCAGGAGCAAACATCTTCTAATTTTGTGGCTGCAGTCACCATCCGCAATGATTTTGGAGCCCGAGAAAATTAAATGTGCCACTACTTCTCTTCCCCCATCTATTTGCCATGAAGTGATGGGACCAGATGCCATCATCTTCATTTTCTGAATGTTGAGTGTTAAAGAAACTTTTTCACTCTCCTCTTTCACTCTCATCAAGGGGCTCTTAGTTCCTTTTCACTTTCTGCCATTTGTGTGGTAACATCTGCATATCTGAAGTTGTTGATATTTCTCCCAACAATCTTGCTTCTAGCTTGTGATTCATCCAGCCCACATTTTGCATAATGTACTTTGCATATAAGTTAAATAGGCAGGGTGACAATATATAGCCTTGATGTACCCCCTTTCCCAATTTTGAACCAGTCCATTGTTCCATGCCTAGTTTTAACTGTTGCCCTTGACCTGCATATAGGTTTCTCAGGAGACAGGTAAGGTGGTCTGGTATTCCCATCTCTTTAAGAATTTTCCAGTTTGTTGTGATCCACACAGTCAAAGACTTTAGTGTAGTCAATGAAGCAGAAGTAGATGTTTTTCTGAAATTCTCTTACTTTTTCTATGATGCAATGGATGTTGGCAATTTGATTTCTGGTTCCTCTGACTTTTCTGAATTCAGCTTGTACATTGCTTGTACAACTGGAAGTTCTTGGTTCACATACTGATGACTTAAGTCATTGTATTTCTTTCCTGTGATTTGGGTATATTTGAGGGCATTTCTATTATTTATTTATCATTAGTTATCTACTAATTATTAGCTATCTATTGCAGTATATTGCTTTACAGTGTTGTGTTCGCTTCTCCTGTACAGCAAAGTAATTCAGCCACACGTATACGTGTATCCCCTCTTCCTTGGATTTCATTCCCATTTAGGTCATCCCAGAGCATTGAGTAGAGTTCCCTGACTGTATACAGTCAGTTCTCATTAGTTATCTGTTTTATACATAGTAGTATATATATGTAACTCCCAATCTCCCAATCCATCCCATTCTCCTTCCCCCGCCCCTTGGTATTCACATATTTGTTCTCTACATCTGTGTCTCTATTTCTGCTTTACAAATCAATTCATCTATACCATTTTTCTAGATTCCACATATATGTGTTAATATATGATATTTGTTTTTCAGTTTTTGACTTATTTCACTGTGTGTGGAGGAAATGGCAACCCACTCCAGTATTCTTGCCTGGAGAATCCCCATGGAAAGAGGAGCCTGGTGGGCTACAGTCCATGGGGTCACAAAGGGTCAGATATGACTGAGCGCAGCTAAGCAGACTCCATATGAATAGTCTCTAGGTCTTTCCGTGTCTCTGCACATGACAGTTTTGTTCCTTTTCATGGCTGAGTAATATAGTAATATTGCATTGTGTGTGTGTGTGTGTGTTCATACAGCACATCTTCCTTATCATTCCTCTGTTGGTGGATATTTAGGTTACTTCCATGTTCGAGCTATTGTAAATAGTGCTACAGTGAACACTGAGTTGTGTGTATCTTATTGAATTGTGGTTTTCTCTGAGAATATGCCCAAGAATGGGATTCATGGGTCATATAGTAATTCTGTTTTTAGGTTTTTTCTCCATACTGTTCTCTTGGGCTTCCCTGGTAGCTCAGATGGTGGAGAATCTGCAGTGCAGGACACCTGGGTTTGATCCCTGGGTTGGGAAGATCCCTTGGATAAGGGAATGACTACCCACTCCAGTATTCTTGCCTGGAGAATTCCATGGACAGAAGAGCTTGGCAGGCTAAAGTCCACAGGCTGGGAAAAAGCCAGACACAACTGAGTGACTAACACTTTCATGCTATTCTTGATAGTGGCTGTATCAGTTTACATTCTGGGGGCACTTATTTATTGACTTAGTGTTCTTTTCTTATTGACTTATAGTACTTTTGTATATGTTGGAGGAAATAGCCTTTTATCTGAGATGATGGTTTACAAATACCCCCTCCCCCTAGTTTGTTGACTTTTGAATTTGCTTAAAATTTTTTTTGTGTGTAGAAGAGTTTTATTTTTGTGTAATCTAATAAAACTTTTATGGTTTCTTCATTCTGTGTCATACTTTAAAAGGTCTTTTCCATTCCAAGATAATTTTTTAAAAGATCTCCTATGTTTCAGTACTTTTATCATTTTATCTTTTATATTAAAGTCATAAATCTAGCTGAAATTCACATTAGCACATAAGGTTTGAGGTAGGAATCCAACATTTTGCTTTTTATCCAGTTGTCTGTCATTAGCATTTATTGAGTAATCCCCACTGATATGATACGCTTCCTACATTTCTTTTAAGTAGCAAACTCTCCTTATTTTAAAATTGTGATTAAGGGGACTTCCCTGGCAGTCCAGTGATTAAGACTCTGCACTTCCACTGCAGGGGGTATGGGTTCCATCTCTGATTGAGGAACTAAGATTCTGCATGCTGCAGGGCATGGCCAAAAAAAGAAATAAAAATTTGATTAAGTAAAGATCAGGGCTTATAAGACTTTTCAGTAGCACACTGGATTAAAGTGAGAGATTTGACCAAGTGTATTTACCTTGCCTTAGGACTCTTCCTACAGTTCCTCTAGTTTTGTTATCTCCCTATTGGCCACTTTTTCCCCTATGTTTTCTAAATGCATAGCAAGTATACACCAGAGCCCCCAGGTCTTAAAAAGCTTGTCTCCATAGCAGTGGGTGACAGCCCTTGGACGGGCATGTCAGTTTGATTCTGACTGCTAACTGCTATCTAGGGTGGATGATGGAGGCCAGAAGTTCTGTCTGGTCTTACCTGTGTTTGTAACTGGCCGCAGGAATCAGCATGTGTGAAGGTGGTAGCTGCCGTGAGCATGTGGGACGTGTGCGTGGAGAAGGGACACAGAGACTTGGAACAGTTCGAGAAGGTGCATCGCTACATCAGTGACCAGCTCTTCACAAACTTTGTAAGTGACTCTTCAGCTCACTTTTCTTGCATTGGCTCTTTTCCCAGGGTTCTATCTAGTGACCAGCCCAATTTCAGGGGACAAAGGAAAACTCAGAAATTTAACCTGGTATCACTGTTGATAACTGATCAAAAGAAAACAACTAAAGGATTAATGATTTTAAAAGGAATATTTCGGCACAGTTAATAGTTTAACAAGTAGATCTTTAAATGGCATAAACTACCTTATAAAGACTAAATATCAGATTGCTTGGGAAACTCTAAATGGAGAGAGAGAGAGAGATATCCTGAGTAGAAATGGATGTGCTTTGATAGCTTCTTGAAGGTCTCTGAATGCTTGAGGCTAAAGAAAACATGATAGTTGAAGCTTACAGGTATTCTGACAGTAGCATCTTAGTAAAAATTTACTAAGTACCTATTTGTGTTCTTTTTGTATCCATATTGTGTCCTTGATATCTATCCCTTTAGAATTAGACAAAAATCTTTGAAAAATGAAAACAGATTATTCAGTAGTTATGAGTAGAAAAGATATGGGTGTGTGAAAGTTTCTCTACCCCAGATTTGTGTAACAACTAAATCTTTTTATTTTTTATTGAATTATGGTTGACTTACAATATTGTGTTAATTACTTCTGTACAGGAAAGTGACTCAGTTATATATGTGTGTGTATATATATTTATATATTCTTTTTCATACTCTTTTCCATTATGGTTTATCACAGGATACTGAATATAGTTCCCTGTGCTATACAGTAGGACCTTGTTGTTTATCCATCCTATATATACCAGTTTGCATCTGCTAATCCCAAACTTCCACTTCTTCCCTCTTCCACCCCCTTCTACCTTGGCAATCACCAGTCTGTTCTCTATGTCTCTTGATTTTGTTTTGTTTTCCTAGATAGGTTCATTTGTGTCTTATTTTAGATTCCACATATAAGTGGTATGATCCAATGTTTGTCCCTCTGACTTATTTCACTTAGAGTGATAATATCTAGGTCCATCCATGTTGCTACAAATAGCATTATTCTTATTTTAATGGCTGAGTAGTAGTCCCCTGTGTTTATATACCACATTTTCTTTATCCCGTCATCTATCGCAGGGCATTTGTTTTCATGTCTTGGCTATTGTGAATAGTGCTGCTACTATGAATACATGAGGATGCATGTATCTTTTTGAATCATAGCTTTGTCTGGATATTTAAATGTCCAGGAGTGGGATTGCTGGATCATATGGTAATTCTACTTTTAATAATTAAACCTTAAGTTAAATTCAGGTTATGTATAGACATGTACACATAAGTGATACCAGACAGATGGTCACATCTGGGTTATAATGCAACATCATGTTAATGTATGTAGTTGAGCATTTGTTGTCAACTGTGTAGCTGTTTTGCATACTCTTTGGTGTGTGCAGATTGCTGGGTGAAGAGTTACAAGCTGAGAAGCTTTGTGTGCAGACACCTGGTATCAGATAGGCAGAACACTGTTGGATCTGCACAGGTTTAGCTTGGAGCAAAGCAGGTGGTGCAGGATGGAACAAAAGCCACCTGAAGAGTATTCTAAGAATAAAAAATTCGGTACTGAACACCATGCCTTTCTCATTTTCACAGAAAGAGAGGACAGAGCGGCTGGTCATCTCTCCGCTGAATCAGTTACTGAGCATGTTCACAGGACCCCACAAGCTGGTACAGAAACGCTTTGACAAGCTTCTGGACTTCTATAACTGTACAGAACGGGCGGAGAAGCTGAAGGACAAGAAAACCCTGGAGGAGCTGCAGTCAGCGCGGAACAACTATGAGGCTCTGAATGCCCAGCTGCTAGATGAGCTGCCCAAGTTCCACCAGTACGCACAGGGCCTCTTCAGCAACTGCGTGCACGGCTATGCAGAGGCCCACTGTGACTTCGTGCGTCAGGCCCTGGAGCAACTGAAGCCGCTGCTCTCGGTGAGACCTTCCCTCCCTGTGGAGAAGGGGACTCCCAGGGTCTCCCCAGGTTTTTTGGGGAATACACGTCAGGGTTGTCGAGTCACTGTTAAGCTAGGCAGATTAACTGTGTCACTGGGTCAAGCCCATCGGGAGGCGGAGTCCTGCTGCCGTGATGGTGCTGGGACCCCAGGGCCTTGAATGGTTGCTCTCCTGAGCCGCCCTGGCGGAGCCGGGCCCTGGGCTGCGGGCTCCTGGCTGCAGTGTCGGTGGCTCACACGTGAGGAGTGTCAAGGAGACTGTGCCAGTCCTGGGTCTTCACGTGTGTCCTCTTCTCCCCTCTGTCTCTGTTCTTGCGAATGGACTCCAGCTACTCAAAGTCACTGGTAGGGAGGGGAACCTGATTGCCGTCTTCCATGAGGAGCACAGCAGGGTCCTGCAGCAGCTCCAGGTTTTCACCTTCTTCCCAGAGTCTCTTCCCACCACCAAGAGACCATTTGAGAGGAAAACCATGGACCGCCAGTCCACCCGAAAGCCACTCCTCGGCATGGTGAGTGGAACCAGAGACACTCATATGGCCTGGTGGTTAAGGTGTAAACTCCTGAGCGAGACCGCCTGGGTTCATATCACAGTTCTGACAGAGACTCACTCTGTGTCCTTGAGCACGTGCCTGTTTCCTCATGTCTAAAGCACCAATAATTGTTCTGGCTACATCATAGAGTTGTTTGGTGATTTAAATGAGTTAAAGTATGTAGAGCACTTAGGCATTGGCCTGGCACATAGTAAGCGTTATTCAAGTAAGCTGTCATCAGCGTTATTGATTGACTCAGCTCTGTCTCTACTGATTAACAATTTATTTATTTATTTATATTTTTATTTATTTTTTGGCCTTGCTGCGTGGCATGTGGGATCTTAGTTCCCTGACCAGGGATTGAACCCACATCTCCTGCATTGGAAGCACAGAGTCAAGTCAAGCACCTCTTGACCACCAGGGAAGTCCCCACCGATTAACAATTTAATGAATTTAAATATTTTATAATAATTGGAGAACAAAGGTTATTGAGTTCAAATCTGTCATGTGCTCATTCTTTCTTTACTTACTATCACCAGGCACCAGCAGTGTGCCAGCTGGTACAGACTTCAAATGCCCTCTGAATAGCAGTCTTGGCACCTAGTCTCTACAGTGAAAGGAGTTAATAAAGGATTAATATTAATACTTTGATCAGTCAATTAAGGGAACTGGTTTAAGGATATGTTAATTCTGCCAGGCTCCCTATTTTTGATCATGTATTGGAAAAAGTAATTATCTGATATACTGCCAAACAGTTATTGACTGATCACTTTTTACCTGGAGTTATTTTCATTTTGAACTCAATTATTCCACATTCTGAAAAGTAGGGTAAGACATAAGGGGTAATAATCTACAAGACTGCTGATCTGTCTGTGCTTCAGTATTTTTGCCCCATATAATCCCATAGACTGTAGAGCAATTATCTTTCAATTGAAAAATAAGTTAATTTTTAAAATTTTTGTATGATTTTAAAGTGAGTGATAGTCACTCAGTTGTGTCTGACTCTCTGCGACTCCAGGGACTATAGCCTGCCAGGCTCCTCTGTCCATTGGATTCTCTAGGCAAGAATACTGGAGTGGGTTGCCATTTCCTCCTCCAATGATCTTTAAAAAGGGAATCACATTTTTTATCACTTTACTTTTTCTTATTTTATGAATATTATTTGTTTTTGGAGATGAGAAGCCAAGATAAGGAAAGTCTCAGTTGTTTAGAATCATATAGCAGAGTACAAGGAGACCTACTCATATTACTTATTTTGATTCTTTAGGTGGCAGTTTAACCACATATTTTTATCACAGGATAACAGATCTAAAACTAAGGACGTGTTAAATTTTCTTACTCTAGCTGTAAAGGCACCAAAACGTGACCTAAGAGATTATGGTTTTCTCCCAGCCACACAGGCTGACTCAGTGCAGAAGCATGTTATAGGAGCTGGGAGCAGCTGGCTGTCATTGCCTCCGTTTCTGAGACAACATACGTGGTTACATACAACTGCTGGGGTAATAGCCAGGGAGGGGTTTAGATGATGATATCTCTTATATTACCTTTCAGCCAAGTTATATGCTCCAGTCGGAAGAACTTCGGGCCTCACTCCTGGCAAGGTATCCCCCTGAAAAGCTCTTCCAGGCAGAACGGAACTTCAATGCAGCCCAGGACCTGGATGTCTCACTTTTGGAAGGTGACCTGGTGGGTGTGATCAAGAAGAAGGACCCCATGGGCAGTCAGAACCGCTGGCTGATTGACAACGGAGGTAAGAGCAGTAGAGGACAGATTGTTGTTGTCTAGTTGCTAAGTTGTATCTTGACTTTTTGTGACCCCATGGACTAGCCTGCCAGGCTTCTCTGTCCACGGGATTCTCCAGGCAAGAATACTAGAGTGGGTTGCCATGCCCTCCCTCCAGGGGACCTTCCCAACCCAGGGATTGAACCTGTGTCTCTGGCATTGGCAGGCGAATTCTTTACTGCTGAGTCACCAGGAAAGCCTAGCACAGATTACCATGACTCTAAATGAGGAAAAGAGTGATTTGGGCTGTGTCTGAATCCTGGGTAGGCTAGCAGAAAATATGAGAATCTTTGATTAAAGGGAAAAATAACCTTAAAAGTTTTCTCCATCTCTAGAGAGTGTAATACTCAAGTCATTACAGAACAAAACCAGTTTTTTATTTTTTTTGAATTCCAGAGAAGACTCTGTTACTTCCCTTGCAAGATCTTGCCTTATTTTACCTTTACAGGCGCTGAATCCTGCCTAAAGGGTCCTTGCCCTCTCCATCGCTGAGTGAACCATAAGTTTTTTATATGTGTTTTGTGAACATATGAATTTCAGATAGGGTTTTTTGCCCGCTCCCCCCGCCCCCTGCCAACTGGCCAATAATTTTACCTCATGACTATTTAGGAAATGACTTTAAAAACAGCTTACAGTTTTGTTTTGTTTTGTTTTTTCTTTCTGGTGGGAGTTGGGGTGGGGAAGGGGTGCAGAATTGTTTTTGTAAAATACAAAGAATAATGCCAATCCATAATTCTTTTTCCACAGTTCCAAAATCTGAAAAGCTTTGAAAATCAGAGGGTTTTTTTTTTTAAAGAACTAATTTGCCCAAACCTTCCCTGATCTGAACTCATTTGGTGACAAAACCTGAACAGATGCTGAGAGGCTGTTTATGACCCCTTACTTTTTCCCTTTTGGTGTGACTAGTCATGTTTTGCTACAGAAACCTGAATGGGTTTGACTATGGGCTGTTGACCCAGTCCTAAATCTCCAAATCTGAATTCCATAATACATCTGGCCCCAAGTGTTTTAGAGAAGGATTGTGGCCTCTGTAATAAACACCCATATTCATACCATCAGAACTGAAAACTTTAATATTTCTCAGTTTCTTTAAAAGTGTTTTGTGAATTTTTTTTTCTCCTTTCCCAGCCCCCTATTCTGCTTACCCAAAATAATAGATTGAAGTGGGAAAGGCAGGACAAAGGAAGGGGCCCCCAGGGTGATGGCAGGTGAGAGCCACTGATAGACTGATGGCCTCTTAGTGAAGATTCAGACTGTTTGAGCTCCCCTGTCCTTGGGTTCCTAGCTCTACAGTCCTGATGAGTAAAGTGGTAGCAGGAAGCTCACAGCATCAGGATCAGTTCTTAGACCCTCTACCCCTTGCCGTCTGCCTAGGGGGATTTCTTGCCATCACTCAGAAAAGAGAACAAATGCAAGCTGGCCTTTTTTTAGGTGCAGGAAGCACACTGATGGTCAAGACAGGGATGACCCTTGCTCAAGTGGAGATTACATACTCCAGGTCCCTGCCTCACAGATAATTATTTCTTATTCAATATTATAACAGTTTTTTATATGGGTTAGAGATCTCAGTTCCTAATTTGTGCTGAAGGTTTTAGCTGAGGGCCCTCTGTCCTCATCTTAGGTAATTTACTGACATGAACAAGTGTGTATTCTAACTAATATAAGCAGTTTCCTACTCTACTAGTATTCCCACTGCATTCCTAAACCAGGGGTGGAGAGGGCAGGGAGGCATATGGGAGGGGCTCTGTCAGGCTAAGGATGGTTTTTAAATCCCTTTTAACCGCACTCTTACAGACTTGAACACATCCTTACTGAAGTCTTCCCCTTAGCCTTTGCTCCCAGGGTTTGGCGCTCTTGTTAAAATGTCTTCACCTGCTCATGCTCAGGCGTGTGGTCGTTTTTGTTACTGTCTCTCAATTCGCAGCAAAGCCCCTTGTCACTCACTCGTTGGACAACAGCCACAGCGTCTCATCTCTGCCATCCGCCTTGCGCCCTGGGGTGGTGTCCGTTCTCTTTGTCTCCTGACATCTTATTCCCTCTCAGTATTGACCTTAAGCCACAGTTTCTCCTCTGTTGATTTCCTCCCGGCTCCTCCTCCCACGAAAAGCTCTTGGTGTTTGTTTTTCCTCCCTGCAGTCACCAAGGGCTTTGTGTACAGCTCCTTCCTGAAGCCCTACAACGCGCGCCGCAGCCACTCCGACGCCTCGGTGGGCAGCCAGTCCCCCTCCGAGTCCGAGCACGGCGGCTCCTCCCCCAGGTTCCCGCGGCGGCATAACAGCAGCGGCACCTTGACCTTCAACCCCAGCAGCATGGCTGTGTCCTTTAGCTCAGGGCCTTGCCAGAAACAGCCTCCAGATGCATCTTCCCAGACAGAATTTGACCAAGGAACTCTCAGCGCATCCTTAAACTCAGAGGGCAGTCCTTCCAAATGCCCCTCGGACCCAGACTCCCCCTCCCATCACAGGCCCTGGGACTCGGGCGATGCGGTCAGAGACCTTCACCAGCCTGCCCCTACCCTGAGGAACTCCCGAAGCCCCAGGCATCCAGAAATGGCTGGTTCCTCTGTGCCAGGGCGTAACGGGCAGGGTCGAGACCTTGTAAAAGCCGGTGCAAGAACAGCGCTGTCTCTGGAAGACAGACAAGATCAGCCAGCGAGCAGCGAGGCGGAAGGCAACCAGGTGAGTGCGCCCAGTTTCCATGGTTACTGCGCTGCGTGTGGATGCAGGTGATGAGCTCTCAGGAGTGGGCGAGGCCTGCCCCGGCCTGGGGGTGACCCCGGAGATGGGCCCACAGATAAATCCTTAAAGGACTTGCAGAAGCTCACTGCTGTGAGAGTGGGCAGCTCCACTCTAATGGACCTTTGGTTGCTGACTTCACAGGCTGTAGTGTTATGGAGCGTTTACCTGGTGTTACCATGAAGCTTTTCACACTCTTCCAATGCACTGATTCTTCCATTGGTATAAAGTCTGCTGTTTAACTCATCTACTTAGTTTCTCATTCAAGTAGCTATATTTCTAGAATTCAGGAATAGAATTCTGATTCTGTTTGTTTTTCCTGTTCTTTTTGTAATGGCCCCTTGTTTGTGTCATAAACATTTTAAACCTACATGTTTTAAAGCCACTTTCACGTCCACAACTGAGGAATCCCTGGCCACCTGCCTTTGCTCACTTGCAGCAGTGAGTCTCCAAGTGTGTCTTACCTTTATCAGTGAGCTCTCTGTGGTTCTGTTACAAGCCCAGGACACACATCACAGCTCTGGATCCACCAGCGGGCTGGTGGAAATGGACCAGGAAATGGCCCTTTCTGAGATTGTGACTTTGTGCAAGGAGCTCAGTTCTAAGCTCACCAGCTCCAGTCCTTGAGCACCCTTGGGTGTGTGTTCATCTCTGTGCCCCTGCGGGCCTCATGATTCCTCCTTCTGATCATGGACCACCACCCTCGCTTTGCTTGCTAGCCCTGTTATGTTCATTTAGAGAGCATCCTTTCTTACTTTGAGATTAGATGTGGGTTTTTTGTTGTTTTGTAAAGATTTTTAAATACAGAATTTCTGTGTTAGGAGTATGAAAGAGCATCCTCTTGTCTCATCCATCTTCCATACTGACTGAAGCTTTTTTCCCTTTTTAAGGCAACTCTGAAAGAGTAAAATAAGTGAATTTTGGTTTTCTTTAAAGCTGTCCTGTTCATTATGGTAGCCATCAGCCATATGTAGCTATTTAAATTTAAGTTAGGTAAAGTTAAACAAAAGGTAAAATTCAGTTCTTTCATCTCACCAGCTGTTATTTCAAGTGCTCAATGGCCATGTGTCTAGGGGCTGCCATAATGGATAGTCCAGATCAGATGGTACCCGTCACCGTGGGAAGTTCTGTTGGGTAACTTTGCTCTCACATGTTTCCCATTTCCTAACTCACTTTCTCTCCCTCTCACAGGTCTATTTTGCTGTTTATACCTTCAAGGCACGGAACCCAAATGAACTGAGTGTGTCAGCCAATCAGAGACTCAAGATCCTAGAGTTTAAAGATGTTACAGGAAATACAGAATGGTGGTTAGCTGAAGTCAATGGGAAAAAGGGTTACGTTCCATCCAATTATATCCGCAAAGCTGAGTACACCTGAGCCTGTTCTGCTTCCCATTCATCCTTGCTGCCTTCACTTCCTTCTGCTGAAGGGTTCTGGTATCCACCAAGAGGGCTCCTGCTCCTGAGACACTGGCCCTGCCACATTGCTTAACCGTGGCACCAGTGGGGCCTAAGTCTTGTTCTCTTCGATTGGGTTGTCAGCCTTGATGCTCACTAGAATCTCTAGAATTTGAAATGGACCCTGGTGCTTACAAGTGATTCAGTGACCGTGAAAAGAGAAGCAAGTCCTGGGGTCAGCCTTTGGAAATGAGAGATTTCCAATCAGAAGACCAGTATCCAATATATGCTAGAAGCTGTGCTATAGCATTAGAAGAAGTTGATGTTGGTTGTGCCATATTGAGTGGGGTGGCCCCATGCTCCATGATCAACTGACCAGAAACCGACTTGGATGAATTCTCTGGGAGCCCTTTCAGGCTGCGCCTCTGCATATGCCAAGAAGTTTGTCAACATTGTACCAAATCTGGTGTTTTAAAACCTCAGTGTCTGGCACATATTTGCACACACACCCCTTATTTCTAAACATCCCTAAAACACTGTTTTCTGTCATCTTTTTCTTATTTATTTCACCACATTTCCAGATTGGGCAAAATTCAACTATTGAGTCAGCTAAAAACGTTCATTTGGGTTTTTCTGTAAGATCTTATGGAAAAACCCAGACGAACTTTCTGGCCAACCTAGTACTACTTTCTCCTTTTAAAAAATGTTTAGAATCTTCCTTTCCCCTGAACCTTCATAGGAAAGGTTCTCTTCACATTAAGTGCTATCCTCCACACCTTGCTGACACCATCTCTATATGGTCTGTGTACGATAATGTTTCCTGGCTTCTTTCCTGAAGCTCAATAGTTGATAGACTTTCTTGGGAGAGCGGAATCGGAGCTCCTACTGTTACCTTCGGGGGATTCATTCTGCAGTGGGCTGAAGCCAGTCCAGCCTAAAGGGAGACTGGATGCCTCTCCCTTCCTCCAAGCACACTACTGTCCACAGATGAAGAGAACGTAACGCACGTTTATCTCATTTGAATTTGGATAAGCAGTCCCGAAGTAGCTTATCCTAGACTTGGAAATAAGCATTTTCTGTTTCACCAGCCCCCCTGCTTCAGAGACCATGGTCTAAGCCAAACAGAATCTAAAGTGCCTGATTGTACCTCCTCCACCTCAGGAAGATGTTTACTGATCCTAACACTAAGGTCCCCCCTGAAGTTTGTATGTGAGCAGGGCTCTTATTCTTAAGGTCTGCCCCAGATTGAAAGCTTGCCTTGGAACAGGAAATCATGAATTTTGTCTTGCAAGAAAGGGCATGAAGAATAGCGTACAGCCCTTGCTCCTCCAAATGCACCTTCACCTTAAAGTCTTGATCAGTCAGGAGACACCCGGGGGCTCCTTGGCAACCCTGGGGTCTGCTGGTCGATCAGAAGGCAGCAACACAAGAGTCTCTCGTGAATAGTGTTTATATCTAGAGATGTTTATATTTAAGTAGTTATTTTATAAATAAAAGCATTTTAAGGGCCATAAGTATGTTTTCTTGACTTTCTTCCCAGTTTAGCCTGAACTTCTCATGTTTCTGGGGGTAACTTCTTGATGATTCAATGATGCTCAGGTTTTAAGACGTGGGAAAGGCTAAGTGAAGAAACTCGGGTCAGGAATTCCTTTTCAAATATGATTTCAGCAGAAACACTCTATACTCAAAATAAGTCCATGTTGCATTTTAAGCCATTTCATTCAGTAAAATCATAGGAAAACAGAAGAGCTGGGAATTCTAAGAGGTATTTGCCAGCCATTACAGATATGGAAACTGATGCACTAGTGCTGAACTAACAAGGTCACACAGGTTGGGTGTGGGAGTGGGGAGAAGTAGCAGGAGCACTGGCGGAGGTGGTGACAATGAAGCAGTTGCCCAAGATGGTTAAGGAATAGAGAACGTGGGTGAAAGGTAGACTGGAGAAAAAGCTTATGTGCCAGCAAGGCTAACTTATTTTACGAAGAAGGAAGATGGGGTCCAGTGACATTGTGACCTGCCCAAGTCTTACATCAAGGTTTTGATGGAGCCTGAATCTAAAGTTGGGTCAGGCTGAGCCTTTCCACCTTGTTCTGGAGCCAGACTGACTTCAGACACTGAAGTGCATTGTGACCTTGGCAACTTACCCAACCTGGGCTTCAGCTTCCTTATCTAACATAGAGATAATACTTGTTCTCTGCCTCATGGGGTTGTGGTAAGGGTGGGATGAGTTAGTACATGGAGAGTGCTAGGACATTGCCTGGCACATAGCAAGCAGACTAGAGAGCCCTGAGGTCCAGGTCAAGGAATTTAGATTTGACGAGAAACTTCTTGTTACCTAAGCTTCCTAAGCAGATTGCCTGTTTATAGGAAAGCTTAATGATAGCAGGATGATTTGAGGGGAGGACAGATCAAAGGTCAGAAAAATCTAATTTAAAAACTAACTGGCCTGGATTTCAGATTGCTTGTGAATGGAAAAAAGCAGCATCCTATAAAGATACAAAATTAGAGAAATGGAATTCTTAACAAAGGGGAGATCATTGGGATGGGAGCAAGTTTATGAAAAGATAAGTATTATTTAAACATTAGCATGTCTGCTAGGTCTTACTTTTTCTTTACTTTTATTATTCTGTTGAAATGTAGTTGATGTACAATATTTTCAGGTATAATGATTCAGTTATATATGTTATCAGATTTTTTTTTTTTTACTATAGGTTATTACAAGATGTTGACTTTAGTTCTCTGAGCTAATGCAGTAGGTCCCTGTTGTTTATCTGTTTTATATATAGTGATGTGTATTTGTTAATTCCAAATTCCCAATTTATCTCTCCCCCTCTCCCCTTTGGTAGACCATAAGTTATTTTCTATGTCTGTGAGTCTATTTCTGTTTTGTAAATAAGTTCATTTTTATCATTATTTTAGTTTCCACATATAAGTGATATGGTATGATGTTCATCTTTTTTGACTTAATATGATATTCTTTAGGTCCATCTGTGTTGCTGCAAATGGCTTTATTTCATTCTGTTTTTGTGGCTGAGTAGTATTCTGTTGTCTATATGCCCCATATCTTTATCCACTCATCTGTTAATGGACACTTTGGTTATTACCATGTCTTGACTGTTTTGTACATAGTGCTTCTGTGAACATTGGGGTACATGTATCTTCTCAAATTAAGAGTTTTTGTGTTTTCCAGATACACATGCCCAGAAATTGGATTGCTGGATCATATGATAGCCCAGTTTTTAGGTTTTTTGTTTTTTATGTATCACTGTTTATTTTGAAGATGACAAATGGAAGTTCAAGGAAAATTAAGCAAGTAGCTCTAGACCACACAGCTAGCAAATGGCAGAGCAGGGCTGCAAGACCTGGGTTCTCCCACTTACTGCATGTACCATAAGTAGGATGAGGTGCTGGCCAGGCTGCAAGCTGAGCCAGCTGTGCCTGGGTAGGGCAAACCAGACAAGGTAGATGTCCTTAGTGAGTTTTCAGTCCATGGCTGATGAAGATGCCAGGAAGTTCTCTGGTTCTGCTTGGAAGGGCAGCTGCGTGTCTCTTCCCTATACTCAGCAGGCTCCTGTCCTTGCTGGCTCAGGCTGCCCCCCACCTTGCCAGGGCTCTCTGGTAGAGGTTGCACTCGGCGAGCTGCGGCTGCTGCTGCACTGGGAGAACAAGGGCTCCACCTACTGGAACTGTTCAGTTCAGTTGCTCAGTCATGTCCGACTCGACCCCATGAATCCCAGCACACCAGGCCTCAAACCCATGTCCATCGAGTCGGTGATGCCATCCAGCCATCTCATCCTCTGTCATCCCCTTCTCTTCCTGCCCCCAATCCCTCCCAGCATCAGGGTCTTTTCCAATGAGTCAACTCTTCACATGAGGTGGCCAAACTACTGTACCAGGCTCCCTTATTGTCGTCTTCCTCCCCTGTGTCCATCGTCAGTGGGGCTTGGTCAGGCTGGGAGAGGCTACGGGATGCTCCTCCCAGAGCAGGCCGGGCTGTGTTCCCTTGCCAGCCTACCGTCCTGTGCGTCTCCTCAGGTGAGGATCCTGCACATTTCCTCCTAATTTTTAGTTTGTTTCAGGAATCTCTATACTGTTCTCCATAGTGGCTGCTAGGTCTTGCCTGTCTAAGTGTGGTCTTCAGCCCAGCAGCATCACCACCCATGTAACCTGGGAGCTCACTGGAAATGGAGGCCCCACCCTAAACTTTTCTGAGTCAAGGTTGCAGGTGATTTGTATGCACATTAAACTTGAGAAGCACCTGTGTAGGCTGTTTTTTTAAAAGAACTTTCTACTATTGGAAAGTCACTAAGTCATGTCCAACTCTTTGCGACCCCATAGACAGTACAGTCCCTGGAATTCTCCAGGCCAGAATACTGGAGTGAGTAGCCTTTCCCTTCTCCAGGGGATCGTCCCAACCCAGTGATCAAACCCAGGTCTCCTGCATTGCAAGTGGATTCTTTACCAGCTGAGCCACAAGTGAAGGAAATTTCCATGGACAGAAGAACCTTGTAGGCGTACAGTCCATGGAGTCGCAGAGAGTCGGACATGACTGAGCGACTTCCCTTCACTTCACTATTGGAAAAGTGTGTATTAGTTGCCCAGTCATGGCTGACTTTGCAAGCCCATAGACTAGCACACCAGTCTGCTCTGTCCATGGAATTCTCCAGGCACGAATACAGGAGTGGGTTGCCATTCCCTTCTCCAGGGGATTTTCCTGACCCAGCGATCGAGCCCAGGTCTCCTGCATTGCAGGCAGGTTTTTAACCATCTGAGCCACGAGGGAAGCCTACTGTTGGAAGAGTAGGAATTACAAAAAAAAAAAAAGGAAGGAAAGGGTGTCATATGTTCCTGACACAACAGAAATTTCCAAATCCAGTTTGCCTGCTTAATTCCTGTCACGAGTGTGCTCCCTTTTCTGCTTGGAGGCAGCTCTTCAGTGATGCTTTCTCCCAAGTGTCCTTGAGAACAGGGAGTGGTGGTGGGAATCTCCTGTCATCTAAAGTGTGTAGATTACGGATCTCCCTCTCAAGATTATTGTGAGAACAAATAAGATGATTCTGCAAATTTTTGTGAACTGTGAGCTCTAGAATTACATGGTTTTAATAAAGATTGAATTTTGTTTCACTCTTTAACTGTGAAGCTGGAACTCTGTGTCCATTCTGTTTCAGGGTCAGGAGTACAAACAGGCTCTAAAAGGACATAGTTGTGCTCTGACTTGTGTTTCACTTGCAGAACCTTAGCCCTAAGGACTGAGAAACCTTGAGTATCATATAACTTACTCCTAAATCATCTCTCTGGTCATTACAACTCACAGGATTTTTTTTTTTTCCAGTTATTTTTGGCTATGCTGGCTCCTTACTTGGCTTGGGCTTTCTATAGTTGTGGCGAGTAGGGGCTACTCTCTAGTTGGGGTGTGTGGGCTTCTCATTGCAGTGGCTTCTCTTGTTATGGAGCACGGACTCTAGGACTTGCAGACTTCAGTAGTTGCAGCTCCCGGGCTCCAGAACACAGGTTCAATAGTTGTGATGCATGGGCTTTGCTCCACGGCATGCGGGATCATCCTGGATCAGGGATCGAAGCCGTGTCTCCCACATTGGCAGGCGGATTCTTAACCACTGAACTGCCAGGGAAGCCCAACTCAGGATTTTAAACTCTCCCATCTATTAGTACATCGCACTGATGAAGCTCTCACATTTCACATGGGCTGGGTGAGGCAGACGGTTCAGTACCACAGAGCAGGGCTCGTCTCTCCAATCTCTAGTTTGCGTTGTTTCCTTTCATGCAGCTCACTGTGGTTGTCAGGGGGAGATCCACAACAGTGTTTTGTGTGTATCAGTATGGGAGTTTTCTACAACAGATTGCCACCCTTGGAAGCTGCCTAGGAGTATCTTATTTCTTACCACCACTCACAGGTGACCTGAAGGAACAGACAGTGCTTTCCCAGAGGTAAGGCGTGTAGTGGCAGAAGCAAGCAGTGTCTCCACTCAGGAACATTTCTTGGGAGCAAGTGGACTTGTGGGGGTCTACAGAATCAGCAGGACCATGTCACCAGGGCTAGCCGCCTGTCTGGGTGTCCCCTGGGACTCCAAGAGGCATCAAGCTCTGATCTTTTCCCGTGGCAGCCCTTCCCCGGGTTCAGGACCAGCAAAGCTGAAAGATACCTGATCTCTCATGGTCGCCTCCTGTCATCAGCATCACCGTGACTCTTGAAAAAAGGACCTTCCTGCAGCCTCTCAGGTGAGATCAAAATTTTACCTCCAAATAGGATTAAGCTGAATAAGATCTTTGCAATTTGATAGAAGGGGTGAGAGCCATGAGCATTGAATTCAATACTTCCAGCTGGACTTTAAAAGGTAGCTTTTTTTTTTTTTTAATGTATATTTGCGCCGGGTCTCAGTTGCAGCAAGTGGGATCTTTGATCTTCTTTGTGACATGCGGGGTCTTTAGTTGCAGCATGCAAACTCTTAGTTGCAGTGTGTGGGGTTTAGCTCTCCGACCAGGAATCGAATCCAGGACCCCTATATTGGGAACACGGAGTCTTCACCAAGGGACCAGTTCCTTGGACCACCAGGGAAGTCCCTAGCTGGACTTTAAAGATGACATAATCCTCTACAAATTCACACTACAGTGGGATTCAGTGAAGGTCAATGAATTATTAAACTGACTTCAGTTAAAGGATATTAGCAACTTTATCAGAGCTACTTGGACTTATGATATTGTATTAGCTTCATATTGGTGCTTTAGCAAATTACCACTTCTTTAGTAGTGTAAAACAACAAATTTATTGTTGGTTCTGGAGGTCAGAAATTTGAAATCAGTTTCATTGGGCCAAAGTCAAGGTTGCTAGGGCTCATTATGGAGACTTCAGAGGGAAATCTGTTTTCTTGCCTTTTTCCAACTTCTAGAAACTACCTATGTTTCTTGGCTTATGGTCTTTTTCTCCATCTTCAAAGCCAGTGGCACAGCATCTTCCATTGTCTCTGTTCCTGTCATCACATCATCTTCATCCTCTTACAAGGATCCTTGTAATAACACTGGGCTCACCTGGACAACCTGCATCTTGTTATCCTTAATCATATCTGCAGAGTCCCTTTAGTTGTTTAAGGTAAATCCTTAAGGTTTTGAAGATTCAGACATGGACGTCTTTGGGGACCATTATCCTATCTGCTGGAGGTATGGAGCCACATGACATTTTTGAGGCAAATTATCTGAGAATGGAAACATGATCCAGTCCAGACTACACTGTTGATTTTAGAGCAGGAATTTGCAAACCTTTTCCATAAAAGGCCAGATAGTAAGTACTTCAGGCTTTTTAGGCCAGAGTGTCTCACAACTTCATTGTAACACAAAGCAGGTATAGATAATACAGAAACAAGTAAGCATGGTTGTGTTTCAAAAACTTTATTTATAAAAATAGCAGGCCTAATTTGGCCCTTGTGCCATATCCCTAACTCTAGGTTCCAATAAAACAAAAGGATTCTGTTCAACCCATTAACACTAAAGCCAAGTATGCAGAAAACTTTAGACGTTTTAATGAAGGAAAATGAAAAGCTAGCCAAAGTGGAATTATTTAGATTGGAACTAATAGATGCATCAGCCTAGCAGATGTTTATGGAACCAGGAGGCATCTTTATGATGCCAGAATGTAAACCCTGACAAACCAGATCGCAATGACCTGCTGCTGGGTGCCAGCTAACAAAGGAGCCAGCAGTCCAGGGCGTTATAGCACCAAGCACCGGGGGAGACAGCTGTGCTCAGACATACAACCAGAAAATACCTTGACAGTCTTTATAGATGGATGCCAATAAGGTTGTTCCCCAAAGAGGAACAAGTGGCTGTGGGCTTGAGCAACAGATAAATGTTCCAAAGACTGCTGCTCCGGAGGAGCCTGACATCTACAGGACAAGTGGGTCTGAAATCAGCAGTCATCAGGCAGAATGGCCAGATGGCTGTCATGGCGAGGACCAAGGTGACTGTCCATTCAGGAGACTACCAAGGGCTTGTGTCAACCAAGGGCTTGACTGTTAAGAGTTGAAGAAAGGAAGACTATTCTTCATTCAGTGAGAACCAAAGCAGTCTTGAAAGAAATACTGCATACTCTCTTTTCCCCCCGCTTTTTTCTACTACTTTCCTAAGCAGTTGCTTTTTATACTGAAACAGTTAAATTCTATAGCATAACAAATTACTTGCATACAAAGCAAAAAGAAATACTATGAAAATGGAGTGTTTTTACAACCCAATTATTTCCTGCATTTTTACAACTTTTGTCTAGTCTTCAAAGAATATGAAACCTTTCCAAAAGTCAATTTAGTATCTAGTCTATGTGGAAAACATAAATCCACATTGATAGGGATCATCAGTGTTTGTGTAATATCGTTTGCTAATTTTTAAAGTCACCAATGTGCATCAACCCTGTTGCTATATTTTTATAAAGATTATTTTGAAAATCTTTATAATTTTTTGATTTTCCAAAAAAAAAAAAAAAGAGGACCTACTATATTCCAGCCACTGGAGATACAAAACAGTAAGAAATTGTTTGTTTTCAAGAGGCTCACAGCTTAGTAGAGAAATGCAAACAAAAAATTATCTAACAAAATAATAAGTTCAGTAAAAGCAAATTAAGTGTGCTGCTGGGGAGCATTATTTAGTTGTAAACAACAGCCCCCCAACTCGTAAACTTAAGCAGAAAGGAAGTTTTCAAATGATAGTATGTGGCTCACTGGCCCTCTGGGAGGGTAAGGAAGCCAATTTGAATCTTCGAAGCCAGGAACAGTGCTTGCTGTCACACAGCGTCACTGCGCCCAGCTGTGGTCACCGCCACTGCTACCCCTGGATGATGACACTGACTGTTAAACTTTGGCCAGGACAGATGCCCCTGCGCTTGTGTCTCCAGCTCCGGAAGCAACGTCTGGCACAGGCGTATCAGATTAATGGAACCTCGTCACAGGGCCGCACCCTGGTCTCCCACCCAGAATCTTGAGTTGGAGGTGTCCGTGGAGAACTGCCTTTCAGATGCAGAGCTGCCCCACAGCTAGCCTGGGGGTTGAGAGGAGAGGGGATCA